GTCCCATCCCGTCCCTCCGGCCGCCCCATCCCTGGTCTCCGTCCATCCCGCCCCGTCCCTCCAGCCCTCCCATCCCGTCCTGTCCCTGCTCCGGCCACCCCCATCCCTCCAGCCGCCGGCACTACAGCTTCCCCCGTCCCCCTCTCCCGGGAGACCTTCCCTTCCCTCTCCTGCTCTCTCTGCACGTGTCTTTTCTACCATGTGGAAGGAGCCGAGGGGTAAAGGGCAGCCTAGGAGGAGGGACCTGGAGAGACATTCATGGGGAGCCCTGCAAGAGATGGGAATGCATATGGTGCTATGGGGGATGAGCCAAAGCTGCCAAGCAGAGAGTTTTCTCCAGAAGTAACAAGACTGAGGGACCAAATGCTGTCACCTCTTCCTGGGCATGATGTCCCTGTGCTTAGGAGGGGCAGCAGCTGTTGGAAGGTGCTTGAAGTCCTGGTCTGCTGGCAATATATTCCTCCCTCAGAAGGACTTCTTTCTCTACTCCTCCTGCTTCCTAATCCCTCCGTAGTGTGAATTTCAAGTAAATGTTGGTGCTGGTGGGATTCTGGCACAAGCCTGGGTGAGTTTCCAGTCTTCTCATGGGCTGTTCTGGACGCACCAGGCCTGAGGAGAACAGATGGATGCCCAGAGCCATGCTGTGGCCCTGCTCCAGTCTCAGGGCTGTTGGGCACCTGGAGGAGGGACAAGCAAAGCTTTTTCCTGAATTGCTCTCTGCTGCCTGGCCTGGAGGGTCTGTGGTGACATGGCCAGGGGAGAGGCAGTGCACCATGAAGGGCTGGGTTCATCGCTCAGCTTGGTGACATCCCACTTTTGTCTCCTCACAGGCTAACCCTGCTCCCATTATCGTGAATACAGACTCGCTGGAACAAGGGCTCTCTGTAAGTCTCCTGGTTTCGTTTTGCTTCCTTTGATCAAGTGATGCATTTTTCCTGCTCAGCAATGCAGGAAAGACTTTTACAGGCCAAGGAGGCTCTGGTGAGGCGGCAGAGGAGCCTGATACCCATGCCACGTCCCCACAGCACATCCCACCCCCAAACCTCACTGGGGCTGGGTGACACTGTGCAGAACCAAGGGTAGCAGCAAGCAATGCTGGGGACTCCAGCACAGGGAGGTACGAGGCCTTGTCAGAGGAGCAGAGAATCTGGGGTGGCTGCATTCAGGGTTAATCATATAGCCATTTCCTCCACCTCCATGCCTTCCTGCACTGCCCAGCCTCCTTAGGCAGGTTTGCCCCTCAGAAGGGGGGGCAATGCTCTCTAGGAGCTTACTGATCCTCAGTACACCAGGACCCAACAGATGCTGCTCCTCTCCCAGTGGAGGCTGCCAGCAGCTGAGCAGTGCTTGGTGACTGTGAGTGTTTGCAGCCACAGTGCATTTGGCACTCTTAGCATAGTATAAAGATAATCCTCAGTTTGTTGCAGAGAGGGTTTACACACTGCTGCATTCCTCCCCAGAACATTTGTGAATCATTCCTGATGGGAGGATGGAGGGAGGAGGGTGGCCAGCATGGGTTTCTGCAGCACTGGCTCCATGCTCATGGGGTGTTCCCCTTATTGTGCCCAAAGGGAGCCCAGTTCACAGGTTGCCAGGGCTGGGTGCTTTGCATCTGGTTTACTTCTGATGCATGAAACTTCAGCTGCCTTTCACATTAGTGAAGCAGCACCAGGACTCAGAGCTGGGGTGGGTTTGTCTTTTGAGTTATGGTCGAGGGCTGCAGGTGACTTGTGGGGATTGAAACTTCCTCGTAAAGAACGGCAGATCTCAGCCCGCAGCCTGTGGTGGGGTCAGGACACATCAGAGCTGGGCTGCAGTGATTGGGCAGGGCTACAGAAAGGAAGAGAAGTCCAGCTGAGACCCCTGCAGCCCTGGCTATATGCTTTAATTATGCCTGAATTGAAGCCACCTGGCATTAGGGAGGAAGGCAATGGTGCTTCTCTCAGCATCATGGTTCTGGGTCTAGCAGCATTCTATAAATGTGGCAGAAAGAGCTGCTGTCCCCTAACGTTACTTTCCCCAAATGCATGGCATGGCAGGGTGTTTGGGGGTCACAGGTTCCCTCAGCGTGCTGGTCTCCCTGGATGCAGCACAGTGCTGTGTTGCAGCCTCCTGTCTGCACTCACCTGCCTGGTGCCATTCTACAGGGAAGTGATAAAAGGGTAATGTCTCCTGGAGAGTTGGGACACACCACAAGGTTGGACTGCAGCAAGTGAGAGATGTGCTGTGAGCAGGGCAGGGAGGTATTTCTGGATGGAAAGTCTGCTTCCACATCTGTTTTGTACCCTTCCTGAGTACAAAACGTTGTACCTTTGGAGGAACATTGCCTGCTTGCTGTTCCACACACCAGCACCACATCCTTCACCAGGCTCCAACTGTGCCAGTCCCTCCTTCCTGCCTGTGTGCCCAAGGGCAGTGAGAGGTGAACCTAAGGGCTAAGGACAGGCTTTGTTGCCCCAGGCAGGTTCCTGAGCCCTGCAGGAGCCAGCAGCAGGGAACCCACCCATAGGGCCAGCAGCCACTCCTTCCACTGCACTCCACTTTCCTGCCCTCCTGGCTGCCTCCCTCTACTCCAGCTCATTAACTTCATATCTCTCCCTCCACCTCCATATCCCTGTCCACCCATTCTCCCTGCACTTTGGATGTAGCTCCTTCTTGCTGTGCTGGATGGAAGCTCTCTTCTTACAGCCCCTGGGGTGGGTTTGGCCAGGTTTTGGGAGGTGCCTTGCACCCCTGACAGGCACCAGCATCAAGCTGGGGGTGGCAGTCACTGGTCCCATCCATCCAACCTCAGCAGCACATGTGGCTGTCATCTGCTGGGCAGAGTGGGGACCACCAGCTCTGTACCCTGGTGTGTGCCACCAGTGGTGTGCCTGGAGGAGCTCATGCCCACAGCAGGGAGTCAGCTCACTTTGATTCCTCTCAGCCTTCAACCTGGAAACTCTCTTGTTTTCTACTTCATGTCATATCAGGACAGAAATGAGCCCTGCTCCATCTTTTCCTTCTCTGGGGTGTTAGACTCCTCAGGCTCCAGAGAAAACACACCCGAAAAACCTCAGCAGTTTCCTAGGTCAGCAAAGGAGCCACACCAGGGACTTGCTGCAAACACCAAAATGCCAAATCTGGAAGAATGTATTTTTTATAAACCCAAAAGCTGAAGCCTGTTGGTACAGTATGTATTTGGAAGGGTTAAAGTCATATCTTCCAGTCCTTAATTACTTAACTATTCAATGTTTTTAATGATAAACAGATGGATGTAGTCTAGTTCCTTCCTGTTCGAGCTCCATTGATTGCGTTGGACTAGCTGCTGGGCTGAATTTGGCCCTGACTGTTTATCAAGAAGTCTGTTCTGCATTTCAATGTCTCTGTCCACCCACCTCCATCCCCAAGAGGATGTAGCACCAGCAGCACTGTAAGGTATGGGCTGCAGCACTGGGGTGACTGGGGCTCAGCTCTGCTGCCTGTGGCTTGTACAGAGCCCAGCACCCCCAGGGTGTAAAAACCCAAATAAACTATTATAAAATGCCTGCAGTATTAAAAGCATCCCTTGAAGAACAGGGATATGTGCTGGGGGGAATCACATGTACCAGCTCCAGGTTGTTGCTCACAGTTTCAGCCTTTGGTGTGTTTTGCCTAGCAGGTCCATGGCAGGGAGACAGGGTATTGGAAGCAGAGTTTACCTGGGGGTCTCTGCATTTCAGAGCTTCCTCTCTGAAGCTGGAACAACTTCTTGCTGCCATGAAGTCCCAAAGTGAGCAGGGAAGGTCACACCAAAGCCTTTGAGGAGTTGAAGGTTTCAGAACATGGGTCCTTCGAGCCCCCTTTGGTGCCTCATTGCCAAGCAGTGCGGTGCCATCCCCTCTTCCGTCTCTAAAAGCCAGGTGTGAGGAAGCCAAGTGCTTTCCAGGCCTGAGCCCAGCCAGCAAGTGCCACAGGAGTCCAAGGCTCTGCGACCAATGAGCGCAGAGGCAGCCTCCTTATGTGGTGCCGACTCTGCTGTCAGGGTCCCCAGCTATGGGCACTGCAGGGTAGGGGGCAAAAGAGATGGCCACCACAGTCCAGTGCCTTTGAGCAGGGTAAAATTTGCTTGTAAGCCTGAAAAAAAACTCAGAAAAAATTCAAAACTAAACTGCCACCCTCATTCTTTGGTCCCAAGCACTGGTGGTGGCACATCCTGCTGCCTGTTCCTGCAGGCAGCGTGGCTGTGGATCTCTCCCAGCCATTTCTGGGGCTTTCAGGCTGCAAACCCCTTCCCTCTGCCTGAGCTCAGCAGGTTGGTCCCCACGACCTTCTGTCTAAAGGCTTACCAGAAACAGGGCATTTATTTACTCTGTGTACAAGACCAACACCGTGGGCAATGCATACCAGGGGGTTGAGGCCAGGGGTTAGCTGGAAGCAAGTCAGTAGGTCTCGGTGCTGCGGCAGGATGTGTGGACATGGGGAAGTGCAGGGAGGGAGCTCATGACCTATTTTCCCTGGGCCCCTTGCCATGTGCAGACAGGGAGAGCTCTCCCTCGCCAGCACTGCCGGTGCCCATGCCAGCGGGAAGGTACCCATTGCGCCTGCTGCCCCGGCACGGGGCTGCTCGCCTTTCCTCTTGCTGGGGCAGGCATGGGGCATTGCCAGGCACCCTCCACCCCCAGAGCTGGCAGGCACCACCAAGATCTGGCTCTCCGGCTTTTGGATTCTCTTCATGATGTCAATACATGGCTGCTTCACCAGCAGGTCCCAGTGCCCATCCACATCACATCCCAACCACTGGATATGGGCTAGGTCCTGCTCCAAAAGTGACTGTGGGCAGTGTTGTCCTTCCTGCAGGTTATTTCCTCTTGCAGCCCAGTGGGTTATTTGGGTTGCATTTGAGGAACCCCATCTTAGTCTTCTAAATTTGGTCTCCTTTTATATAAAAATTATTTTTTATTAACAAATTAACCCCCCAAAAAGCACAAAAAAACCCAAATCACCTCAAATCCTGACTTTTCAGCAAATTGCAAAGGCCATGTTCCTTGTGCACTGTTGCAGTGTTGGCCAGCAGAGCCTGCAGACAGCTTGCAGTAGCACTGGAAGGTGTGTTTATCAAATGAGTGTTAACTCTGCAGCCTTCTGTTGATACTCTGAATGTCGTCATCAGTAACTATTTCCCTGCTGCTCAAAACATGACAGGGAAGTAAAGGCCAGCAAAGGGGCTTCTTCCAGCAACAACACCTCTTCCTCTTACAACATGCTTTATAATGGGTATAAATTGAGAGAGAGGAGATATAGATTAGATATTAGGAAGAAGTCTTTTAATGAGAGAGTGGTAAGACACTGGCACAGGTTGTCCAAGGAGGTTTTAGATGCCCTAACCCTGGCAGTGTTCAAAGACAGGCTGGTTAAAGCCTTGAGCAGCCTGGTCTGGTGGGAGTTGTCCCTGTCTATGGCAAGGGGTATTAGAACTAGTTGATCTCTAAGGTCCATTTCAGCTCCTTAACATTCTATGATTCTATGATTCCTGAGTCCTGAGGTATGCTTGTTGCATGGGAAGAGCTTGGAAAAAAATACCCTTATTCTTTCCCATGAGAAATCAGATGATGCTTAGGATCAGGATATGCTGGAAACAGCTAATTAGCCACTGACACCCCTGTCAGCTCTGCAGGTGTTACACGAGGTGAGGGGATCAGGGCGGGGTGTGTAATCCCTGCCTGGGAGTGATGGAGCCAGGCATCTTCCCACCAAACCCATCACACTGAGATGGCCCTGAACAGGAGCTGGGGAGGAGCACAGGCCACCAGCAAAGGACAGAGGAAACAACCTGTGGCAGAGCTAGGTCATGGCAGCTCTGGTGGGTGTCATGGGGATGTTTTTGCCATCAGTATGTGACTGGTATTCGATTTTCCGACGCTGGAACGCTTGCTTTGTTGGCTTGTTGTTCCCTTGGTTACACGGTATATATTAAGTTCTTCATTTGGCTTCCTTATACAATTAACTGGCATCCATTGCATGGATTTCAGAAACATAATCAGAGCTTCATGGTCAGGCCTGGCTGACCCCAGCGTGCCTGGCCAGAGGAGTCTGTTCCCAGCATGCGCCAGATCGGGTGAGTGCCAACACTGCTGGTTTTCAGGGAGCAATGCAAAACACTGCTCAGCACTAGAAGCCCTGAGATTTGGGGAGTGAGGATATCCCAGTCTCACCTGCCTGGCAGCAGGGTGCCTGACAGGGTTGCATGCTGAGGTGTCTACACCCTGGGTGTTTGTTGGCAGTGGTGGATCGCTCGGCAGGGCTCTGGCACTGCTGGCTCTCACCACGACTCACAGATTGTCAGAGTTTTCTGCAGATCCCCATCCTGTAGGGATGTGTATGCTGTTCCTCTGTGGCCGTGGGTGTGCATATGGCTGGCTGGGTGGCAACTGTGGTGAATGCCAAGGCAGCAAGGACAATGTGTAGTAGCGAAAGGTGCCAGGAATCCGAGTTGCTGGAAAGCTGGGGAAAGGCGACGCCGCACCCCACGCACTGGGATACCAACTGCAGAGACGAGATGAACCCGGAGGCTGCAGTGAGGGAGGCTGTGAGGGCGGCATGGGCCAGTGAGCTGGCTGTACTGGGGATTAATCAGTACAGGAGGATGAGAGGAGGGAAAGGAAACCCATGCCAGAGGAGGAATGTGTGGCAAAGGAAGTGATGCTCCCCTTCACACAGGAGCACAGCCCAGGATGACACTGTGGCAGAAGGTGGCACCGGCCATGTGTCTCTGTGCCTCTGAGGCTGTCAGGGATCCTGCTGTGGGTTAATCCCACCACTTCTGGTGCTTTTCTGCAGAGGGACCTTTCTTTAAGAGCCTTTCTCAATGTGCTGGGAGGATTGGAGTGTCCTACTATTGAAGCGTCTGGATGTCCCAGCCCTGAACTGTGCCCTGAAATCTTCACGTGGCTGAGAGACACCAGGCACAGAGCACACCCAGGGAGAGATAACTCTCTCAGCCTGTGTTCCCTGGAGCCTCCATCCCATCTCTCTGTTCTGGACTCTCACCAACTTCATCCTTGAAGCGCAGTACCCACAATGGGGTGTGGGATTGCTTTGGCCTCCCAGGGCAGGGAATGGGGGGGGGGGGGGAGTCGCAGACGGCACAGCTGCATCCCAGATCCTGACATGCGGAACTGCTCCTGCACCTGGGCCTCTGATTATTGCCCCCTAGAAAATCTCCCATTTTCTCTTGCTACCTGTTAATAGGGCCTTGCTGCTGCCTCAGTGTATTTCCTTCTGTGGTATGAGATGATGGCATTAGCACAAATGGCAGTCGCTGTCCCCTCTATCTCGTGACCCAGCATTGTAGGGGTTTGAAGGACGTACCTTCACAAGGGTGGATAGCAAGGAGCTAGGAAAGCAGGACAACCAGCCTGCTAGTGCCAGATACAAACCACGCCCAAACAAAGCCATGGCAGCTCTGGTTTAGGATACAGAGCACGTACAGAAAGTGCTTCTATAAGTCATCAGTTAATGGTGGATGTAAAATCTGGATGAGGAACCCTACACATTGTCCAGAGGCCACCCGCAGAGGCAGGACTGTGTGATGGGAGAGGTTTTTGCCTGGTGAGCCCAGGGTCGCTCCGCCTCTGCCTTGTCATGCAGAACTGCCTGTCCCCCATTCCTTGTTTCCCAGAATGACTCAAATTATGAGGTTGAGTTCAGTCCCCTCCAAAAAAACCTGTGAATCAACAGTATGCCCTGGCAGCCAAAAAGACCAAGTGTGTCCTGGGGTGCATCAGGCACAGCACTGCTGGTTGAGGAAGGTGACTGTCCCACTCTGCTCTGTGCTGGTGCAGCCTCACCCTTGGTGTTGGGGGCAGTTTTGTGTGCCACAGCATAAGGATATAAAGCTATTAGAGCTCACCCAAAGGAAGGCAATGAAGATGATGAAGGACCTAGAAGGGAAGCCATACAAGGAAAGGGTGAGGTCACTTAGCTTGTTCAGCCTGGAGAAGAGAAGACTGAGGGGAGACCTCATTGCTCTGTACAACTTCCTCATGGGAAGTGGAGGGGCAGCGCCAATCTCTTCTCTCTGTGACCAGTGGCAGGACCTGAGGCAATGGCTGGAGCTGTGTCAGGGGAGGTTTAGGTTACGTAATAGGAAAAGGTTCTTCATCCAGAGGGTGGTTGAGCACTGGAACAGCTCCCCAGGGCAGTGGTCATGCCACCAAGCATGACAGAGCTAAAGGAGCATCTGGAGAATACTCTCAGGCACATGGTGTGGTTCTTGGAGCTGTCCTGAGTAGGGCCAGGAGTTGGACTCAATGATCCTTGTGGGTCCCTTCCTATTCAGGATACTCTATGAAAACTGTTGCTGTTGAGTGTAACAGCTCTGGATGTTACAATAGCCAATTGCTATGCAAATCTTGCTCTATTTTAGACCTCAGAAGTTGTTTGTGGCCTGATCCATATGACCTGGAGTGAAACTGCTACCTTGTTTTCCTGTGCACTGTTGGGTATGAGGAAAACGGATTTTTTTGGACTGTACATTTACCATTTTAGAGCCTACAGTTACATCCCTTTTGTTTCTATCCATTATGTTTCCAAGAACTCTGCTTTGACACTGGGTATGGGAGACCTTTAAGCGTGGGGATCAGAATGGTGTACTGAGACAGGCTACACCATTTTTTTATATAAGGGCATCACAATGTTTTCACCTCTTGCTGTGCCCCACTCTCACACCTTCTTTCCTTTGCACCCAACTAATTTGCTAGAATAAATTATTCTGAATTCCCCATTAATACAGTCATGCTACTAAAAGATGTAAAAAACATAAGCTGCTAAAGGTGTTTATTATGTTATTATGTACAGACTTTTTTTTCCTTTAAATGGACCTACCTCCTTTCTTTCCTTCCTGCAGCAGTGAATTCCTGAGGTTAATTATATGCTGTGTAACAAAGGTGTTATTTCTTTTTGTGCCTTTGGTTGTGTTCCTTTTCATGGCTGGAGAAATGAGCTGGGAGAATAAAGGCTTTGCGCTGAAGTGCATTAAAGTCAGTGGGCTTTGGCTCATGCCCAGGAAGAAAAGCAGCACATGGTTTAATTCCAGGGCAGGCTCAAGCGGTTGCATTTAAGGTTTTTTCAGCAGTGATGGTGCAGCTTTTAGGTTGGATTCTTCATATTCAGCCATCAGAAGGTAAAAACAAAGTCCCCCAGGACCAGCACAGAGTCGTAACATGCTGTCTCCCTCTCTCCAGATGAATGGCAGCGATGGGATGTTTAAATATGAGGAGATCGTCTTGGAAAGGGTAAGTACTCTTTACACACCCGCCAGCAGCCTTTACTGCCTCTTCCCACTCGCCCACCCACTGGCACAGCCAGCACCCCACGCATCCCTGAGCCAGCTGATGGGGAGAGGTTGGGCTCTGCTCTCTCTTGAGGCTTTTGCGGGTGTTGCGCTTGTTGCTTTGCCTGCACAGCCCCCACGGCACGGGGAGAGGTGGGCGTGCTGCTCCCCTCTGCCCCTGCAGACCCCTCCAGAAGGGAAGGAGGAGGGATTCTCCCTTGCCTCCCTCTTTCACACCCTCACCCCCACAAACCCGTCAGTGCAGAGCATGGGGGGAGGCTCTTTGTCAGAGGAGGTCTTTGCCAGAAAATGGAGGTGCAGGGAGCTGTGCTTGTGCAGGCACACAGGTAGGTGCACCCCACAGCCGGGCAAGGGGGACTGATGCCTCCCTGCCACCAGATTCCCTATCTCTCTGGCATACACAGCCTCTTGCTAAGCTGGAAGAACAATTGTTTTGGTAAAACAAACCACAGTGGGAGAAGTTTCTACTCAAACCTTGTCTGTTGGTAACACAGAGCCGAAGGTGTGCACCACAACAGCCATGACTGAAATTAGCTCCCCCCATGGATGGGGTTTATCCAGGGGCAAGCCAACACCACATAGGGTAGGAAGGGCCCAGGAAGTGGCAGGTGTGGAGAGGGAGTGGGAAAAGCTGGCCTAAGGTTTGCTTCAAGAGACAGGCACAGCCCTGCTGATTGGGGATGGCTGGGGTGGGAGGCTGCCCGTGGCACTCTACGGCACACCTTGCCTCCTCCTCCTCCTCGTTGCCGCGCCAGGCAGCTCAGCCTCGCCGTGTGGACAGCTTTGCAGGGGAAGACACATCGCTCATTATTCTGTTCCTCTCTGCCTTTAGTCATCTCCCTCCTTCCCTTGGCTCTGCATCACGGAGGTGGGTGGACGGAAGGTTACCTAGGGCTGCCGCCTCACCCACCGCTTCCCCAGCGCGCCTGACGAAACCAGCCCAGGGGATCCTTCCTTTTTGGGCTAAGTACTTCTTGCTCCAGGCCCAATTCAGAGTCAAGAGCCTTGTTTCCAGGATTCTTCAGAGCATTCTCTGTCCTCAGCCTGTAGCAGGAACGGGGGGAGAGCTGGCAGGACCACATAGAGAGGCAACACTCATTGATGCCCCCATTTCAAATCCCCACACTGCGATTCCCTCTCCAGCAGCAAGAAATTATGAAGGAATTTCAGTGCTTAGCAGCCAGGGCCAGCATGGACCATATCCAGGTCCTTCCCCTTCAACTGGTCCTCAGTGGGATCCAAAAATCTTGTCTTAATGCAGGAAAAGTGCCGTGGTGGCTGTGGGTCAGGCTGTCCCCCTGCTGGGGGGTTTGGCTTACAGAATTGATCTTGGTGTACCCCAGAGTTGCTGGTCTGTCACTGTTATTAATCCTTGTCCTTGTTGTAAAAACAAGGGTAAATGCAGGTGCATTTGGGGGGCAATAATTGAGGAAACACCATCTGCAGCTGGGCACAGGGTAACCAGAATCCTGCTTAGAGGAAGGAGAGCAGTCTCAGACTCTCCACCATTGTGTGCCTCCTTGTCACATGCCAGCCAAATCCCAGCTGGCAGGACAGCATCTGGGAGCATTGCGTAGTGAGAGATATTGGTGGTTCCTGGTGCTGGGTCATGAGTGGCATAAAGTCAGAGCTTGGCATCACTTCAGGAGCTGATGGTGGACCCAAACTGTTGGGGAGAAGTGCAAGCCCCAACTGGATATTGGTGCTAAATGATTCTGGGGAGCCTGAGCCCCAGTGTGGCCCTTCTGGCCACGTGTCCCCAAGAAGGACAGAGCTCCCCATCATCTAACACTGAGCACTGGAACTGTGGGCAGCCAGGAGAGTACTTGGCCTGAGCTCACTTGTGTACGACAGGCAGGCACGATAGTATGTGACTAAGTGTCAGCTCTTCTGCATGAGAAAACAAGGCGAGGAGCCATCTGATTTTCAAGGCAGAGCAAAAAAAGCAGGAATTGTCCAGTCGCATCAAGCATGGATCTGGAAGCAGCGCCTCTGAGTGTGTCACTAATGGGAATCCTGCAAGTGGGAGAGGCAGCACAGGGCCACAGCTACTGGGCTGGAGATGCATTCACCCCCAGGCATACTTCAGCAGAACGAAGCTCACGTAATGCTCCAAGCGTGTCTGTGAGGAAGAGGAGGGAGAACTGGAGACCCCACTTCATCCTGATAGCTACTTCCACCCCAATCCTGCAAACTGTGGCATCAGCATTGCTGATCCCCAGATCGGCTTTGTGTCAGGGCTGCATCCCAGAGTGGAGGGGACAGGGGTGGGACGCTGGTGACAGGCACCAGCCCCACTGGTCCGTGCGGCTGCAGCATCAGTATCTCCTCCTGGGGAGCAGCCAGCAAGGGGAGGTTTTCTCCGCCAAGGACCACCTCCTCTCCCCAGCTCCCCGCCTGCCTCAGAGTCTCTCCGCGGAGACGCGGTGGTGAGGGAGGTCCTCGGCGGCTCCCACTCTCCCACTCCATCTGTTCAGTGCTCCACGCTGCTGCGCCGAGTGCTCAGCCGATGAACGCTGGTCTCCCCTCCGGCCACACATCCCTCTGCCCCCTGAGCCGGGCACCCTGGGGCCTGACAGATGCTGTAAGGTCTCCCACACGGCTCGGGGGAACCATTTCAGGAGATTTCAGGAGGGCCAGCAGCAAGCAGTTACCCATGGGAGAAAGACACGGCATTTGATTTCCCGCAGGGTAACTCCGGCCTCGGCTTCAGCATAGCAGGAGGAATTGACAATCCCCATGTTCCAGATGACCCAGGTATCTTCATCACCAAGATCATCCCCGGGGGAGCAGCAGCCATGGATGGCCGTCTAGGGTGAGTACAGGGCTGGGGGAGCAGCCCCAACAGGGTGTCACCCAGGATCTCTGCATGGGTCCTCTAGGCCTAATCCCCTTTCCTGCCATGGTCCCTGGCCCTGGTCTCTTCACCACATCCAGATCCCCTGAGGGCAGGGGTGCCCACCGTGTCTAGCTAGCCACCCCTTCTCCCTTCCCTGCACCAGGCTCCTGCTGCCACCCTTCCCACTACAGCCCATGTCAGGATTCAGCCTTTCATTTCATCTCCTATCTCCACCAGGGTTGCACCATGGGGACCACCCCCACTGCCTCCCCCTTTGGGAGGACCTTGCTCTCACCCCAGCAGGGCAGGATCTGGCCAGCTTGAGCAGCTCTCCTTTGCGTGGCTGGAAGAGGGTGGCAGAGGTGAACAGAGGAGGGTGGCGTGGTCTGGTGGTTCCCCAGGAGAGCTCAGGGCCACCCTGTGCCCACAGGGTGAATGACTGCGTGCTGCGGGTGAACGACGTGGACGTCTCCGAGGTTGTGCACAGCAAGGCTGTGGAGGCCCTGAAGGAAGCAGGCCCCGTGGTGCGGCTTCCCCCGCCAGAGACCATCATGGAGGTTAACCTGATGAAGGGCCCCAAAGGTGAACCCCTTGCTCTGCTCATTTGACCGTGGCACCCCACTGCCCCACAGGATGGTGTAGGGTGACCCTTCGTTGTGAGATGCCATGAGATGCAAAGCAGCATCCTGGGGGATGGGGGATGCAAGGTGGCACCGCTGTGGCGCAGGGTGCTGCAGGGTGGCCCAGCAGCATGGGATGCTAC